GGCCAGCGAGCGCAGCAGGACCCCTGCCCTCAAGTTAATCCCGTGTTCGGGGACAGCCTGTGGGGTCCTCCCTGGTGCTCGTGGCCTGGGTCAGTGGCCACTGTGTTGCAGACCTGAGCAAGGCCAGTTTGGGGCTCAGAGGGCTGGCATGGGCACCTGTCCCCCCGTGGCCTGGCTGCCCCACGGTGAGATGTGCCCCAGGGGACCCCAGCAGCCTTAGCCCTGCCAGCAGAGCTGGGTGTTACCAGTCCGGGTGTCTTTGGGGATGGCCCTGGGGTGCCGTGTGCCCCCTGTCTCAGGAGGGCATTTGGCCCCCGTCTGCCCCAGCAGCCAGTTTAATGAGCCACAAAAGGGTCTGCATGGTCTGTCAGTTTGTCCCCGGTCTGTCTGCCAGTCCCTTCAGCATTAGCACCAACACTGCTAGGCAGCTGCCCTCCTCCCCGCTGGGTGCGTGTCCCTGCCTGCCCTCCTGCCTGCTCCCAGCCGAGGCCAGCTGGAGGCATTTCACCTGCCCACGGGCACCAGACCTGCCCTTGCTGGCATCCCCATTCCCACTGAGAGCAGCCCAGGATGGGTTTTTGCCGGGAAGGTGGGAGATGTGGGGTGAAAAAGACAAAGATCATTGAAGGGTCTTTCAGCCCCATTACTCCCTGGGGACCACGGTGGTTCTGTGGGGAGGGGTGCTGATGTTCTGGCTTGTCCTCAAGCCTGGCAGCTGCGTTCCTCCACCCTGCCTGCAGGTGCTGTGGGTTTTAGAGGGCTCTGCCTTGCCCATCCTAGAGCTGAGCAATAGCCAAGGTCCCTGCTGGCACAGCTGCTGCAATAAGGGGATAGAGGGGTGGGCTGTGCTGGGAGGGACGCCGGCCAGGGTCCCTGTGCAGGCATGGCTGGGTCTGGCAGAGCCTGCAATTCCTCCTTGTGTCAGGTGTAGCTAATGCATCCCTTTGCAGCGTTGTTTTTACTAGACTAATAAACCGGTTGTAGGACCTAGGCGGTGTCTCTGAGCTCTGCCCAGCACCTGAAAAATGGGAGGGTGGTGTCCTTCCAGTCATGCAGGGCTGAGGAGTGGCTGCTCTGGGGCTGGTGGCTGACGTCCCTGCAGGACTACAGGTGATTTGCTTGGTGATGGTGACAAGGAAGAACTCACGTCTGCATCTGCCTGTGGCTTTTAAATTCTGGATGAGAAGCCTGCTGGGTATTTTCATGCCCATAGCATGTCTGCCTGGGCTGGGGGCACCTGGCTGTCGGCACTGAGCACTCCCCAACCCTGGTGCTGGAGGCACTGGAGAATTCCCAAGCCATGGCCTGAAGTTACAGGGACGTTTGCAAGGAGCAGAGGCTAGCTGAGTGGGTGGAGGAGACCTGCTGCCACCCCTGCCTGGAGGGACGCGAGCCCCTGGTCCCGTCCCGGC